TGGTACTTATGAACCAATGATAACTGTACTTCGATTCTAACTGTACTTATAACCATAAGGGGCTAATAGGTGCCATGAACCCCCAAGTAGTACCCAGGGTAGGCCTTATTCCCTTTTCCGGGGTTTACGGTTTGGGGTTTAGGGTTTAGGGTTTGGGGTAGGCTGCCGCTTTCCGAGGCCTGCTGTAAAAAGGGTTTGGGGTTTGGGGTTTGGGGTTTGGGGTTTAGAGTTTAGGACCCGGAGTAGGCCCTGATTCCATTCTTGGGGCGTTTGAGCGGTTCCCTTTAAAACCGCTGGGCACAAAAACAAGCAGCCTTTTTTCCTAGGTTACTGCTGGGACTAGAGTACCATAAGGGCCTCTTCAGAACCAAAAACGGGTTTGTTTAGCCAAAGTACGGGGCCTTTGTACTGTCTCTATTGAAACCTTTTCCTGATGGTTCCCTAAACCCTAAACCTTAAGCCCTAAGCCCTAAACCCTAAACCTTAAACCCTAAACCCTAAACCCTAAACCCTAAACCTTAAACCCTAAACCCTAAACCCTAAACCCTAAACCCTGAACCCTGAACCCTGAACCCTGAACCCTGAACCCTGAACCCTGAACCCTGAACCCTAAACCCTACACCCTAAACCCTAAACCTTTGCCTACTTACGGGTTTAGGGCTTCAGGGGTTTAGCCCACGGTTCAGCGTATATGTGCGAAGAAGGGGAAGGTGCTGCAACACGCGCCTACGAGCTCAGAGTCCCTAAGCCCTAAACCTCAAACGCTAAGCCCCCCTAAACCCTAAACCCTAAACCCTAAACCCTAAACCCTAAACCCTAAACCCTAAACGCTAAGCCCTGAACCCTAAACCCTAAACGCTAAACCCTAAACCCTAAACCCTAAACCCTAAACCCTAAACCCTAAACCCTAAACCCTAAACCCTAAACCCTAAACCCTAAACCCCACACCCCTATCCCTAATCATCCCAATCACACACCCAAAGAAGAACGCCTTCAACTGCCTCGATGCAGCGCGCGCGGCAGGCTGCCGGTCCATAGCTAAGCAACCCTAAACCCTGTACCCTAAACCCTATAAACCCTAAACCCTATACCCTAAACCCTAAAGACCCTAAACCCTATACCCTAAACCTGAACCCTATCCCCTCAACCCTCTTTGCCGCTTTGTGAGTTCCGCGTTCTGCGTGTTTTGCTCGAGACGTTGCGTATTCGGGGGCCGCGGGGCACATGATTCGCGGCGCCATGCGGAGGTGCGGCAGGGACTCGAGGTAGGGGGTTTAGGGTTTGGGCGGCGCAAACCCCACCCTGAACCCTAAACCAACCCCCCTTTACACCCTACAGTAAACCCTAAACCCGAAAACCTAAACCCCAGAAAGTGAGGTCTGTTACACAAGAAATTCGGGATTCGGGATGCCCTGAAGGTTAGAGGAGTCTGGGGCCTCAGGGCCGATTAGGGTTTAGGGTTTAGGGTTTAGGGTTTAGGATGTCCATGTTCGAAAGCGCCGTTCCTGCTGCTGAGGGCGGTGCGACACAAATACAGCCGGGCCAGCAGAAACTGCACGAACCGCGCAGAGCGGCAGAGCGTGGCTGGCGTTTTTGGCGTTTGGGGTTAGGGTTTAGGGTCAGAGCCCTGGTGCAACAAGGGTTTATTCTTCTCGCCCCTGGGTTGCACCGGCCCATCGCGCCCCTACCCGCAAAGGTCAAACTTTTTCAGGTCCATCCTAGACCCCAAGTCCCTCAAACCCAAGCCCTACACCCGAAACCCATAAACCCTAAACCCCCTCAACCCCAAACCCTACACCCTAAACCCTAAACCCTAAACCCTAAACCCTAAACCCTAAACCCTAAACCCTAAACCCTAAACCCTAAATGTAAGGGGCAACCCAACCCTAAGGATTCTGTCGCAGGCTGTTGAGGTAGCGCTTGGCAAGCCATGCAGCTCGGAGCTCAGAATGCCAGGCCTGACCCTCTGCACCCTCTAGGGTTTAGGGTTTAGGGTTTAGGGTTTTGGGGTTTAGGGTTTAGGGTTTAGGGCTGCAAATTTGAGGAATATTCCTTGAAAAATACGAGGGTTCCTTACATGGTTTAAGGAACATTCCTTAATCAAGGGGTATTGGAGTCTCTGGGCCTCTGCACCCTCTGCAAATTTGTCCCCAGGCTTTCAGGGGTCTAGGGTTTAGGGTTTCGAGCCAGCTGACGTGCGTAGTCTGGGTTCAAAAAAGAGTTTAGCGTTTATAGGGTTTAGGGTTCAGGGTTTGGGGTTTAGGGTTGAGGGTTGAGGGTTGAGGGTGAAGGGGCTTGGGAGGCCTTCACAACCCTCAACCCAAGCCCAAACCCCTAAACCCCCAACCCTAGACTCAAGGGCCCTTAACCCCCACAACTGTCAACTCGAAAGCCCCAAAACCCCAAGCCCAAAAACTTCCAAAGCCTTAAAGCCCTACAGCCCTAAACTCTAAACCCGAAAACCCTAAGACAGCTTAGGCCCGGGAGCCCTAAACCCTCAAAACCCTAAACCCTAAACCCTGAACCCTAAACCCTAAACCCTAAACCCTAAACCCTTAACTCTCACGAGCCCCTGGAAAATTTTTCAGAGCCCGCACGCCGCAAAGGTCGATGTTCGGGGAGGGCGATGGCCTCACTGCTTCGGAGGTCGGAGCGGCGGAGTCGGGATTTCCGGACCCTGTGAAGCCTCCAGGGCTTAGGGTTTGTAGTTTAAGGTGCAGTTGGGATTTCGGGACCCTGTTAAGCCTCCAGGAGGGCTTTTGGTTTGTAGGTTTAAGTTTGAGGGTTCAGGGCTTGTTTGTTTGCTGGTTTGCTTCTAGTTGCGTAAGAACCCCCCCAACAAAAACGGCGGATATAAAACACAATCAAGATATTCTTCTTCAGAAGGGTAAGTAATACAGGGCTATTATCTTTTCTATTCGGGGTTCTTAAGCAAATACTAGTTTAGGGTTTATTTAAAGCCCTTTCCCGAGGATGAAGGGGCCCAACTGCTTTTCCCGGCTTTTGTTCGGTTGGGAAAGGCTTGGCCTCGGGCCCCTGTAAGCCCCAAGCCCTGCTTGTAGGGCCTCAGACAGCAATGACTCAAGCAAGTAGTAGCTCCTCATTGGAATGCTACTAGAATGCGTTCTTGAGGACCTATTGGGGTAACCTGAACTCTACAGCCCCACGCACCAAGTATTGTTGTAGCCCCGGCTTGCGCTAGTGCGGATGGCTGTGCAACACTCTGGAGCGTCCTTCGGCTTCTCTCAGGTCTCAGTTCCACAGCTGTTTTTGAGCAGGCATGAGAACATCATGTACGATTTGGGTATTTCCCAAAATAGGTGTACCCCTTCTATACCCCAAATAGGATGGAATCCCCTTAAAGAGCCCCCGCCCCCCAAAAAGGTACCCCTATTTTCGGAAATCCCCATTTCGGAAGTCCTAATTTGGCATGGGCCCTGCAAAGTGGACATAAGTTCAGCTAGGCGTGGGCGAAACAGACCAACCCAGGCACAAAGGGTTTTAGGGTGTGACGCGGTTGGTGGCTGACGCATTCTTCATATCGCAGGGGGGTGTACCGCCCAAAATATGTCCCCACTGCGATTAGAAGAAGCGAACTGTTGGACGTACCTGAATTGGCCTAAATCAGAGAATGACAAGTGAGTATTGTCACTAAACCCGAAACCCTACACCCTTTGAATATCTCTAGTCGGACACACGGAGCCCTGAATTTTCCTAGGTAGGATTAGGGGGACCCTTAAAGGGGAGCCCTTCTGAAACCTCTTCTGGCTCTCTTAAACAGGGACCACATTCAGAGGGTCTATGTCCCCAAGGGTCCCCCTAATCCTATCCCCTAAATTTTCCGCCTTGAAACCCGAACCCTCCTTGAGACCTTGAGCCCTTACCCTGAGGCCCTTGCAGCCGAAAGCCCCTAAATCCCGAACCCCAAAATCCTGCACTGGGTTGAGGGTCTGGGGTTTCGGGCCCTAAACCCTAAGCGGCCTAAACCCGTACATCCTCCCGTAAGCCCTGAACGCTTCACCCCTGACTACATAGAATCCCACAGCCTAAACCCTAAACCCTAAACCCTAAATACTAAACCCTAAACCCTAAACCCTAAACCCTGAACCCCAAAGCCCCGAAGCCCAGGACCCCCAGCTGCAGCAGCACCTCGAAAGGCAGGACCAGCAAAAAGAGGATTTAGGGTTTAGGGTTTAGGGTTTAGGGTTCAGCATCTTTCCGGGTTTAGGGTTTAGGGTCTAGGAGTCTAGGACCACAAGAGAAGGGGTTTCAGGGGGTTTTCAGGCGGTTCTACTGCTTTTGGTTGGTTTTCGTCCGGGTGGTCAGGCAAAGCAGGTGGCTTGGATAGGCCTTAGGGCTTTGGCCTTTCCAGGGACTAGGATGCCCAAGCATCGAAGTCTGGGTTTTTTTTTTGATTTGCTTTGCCTTTGGGTCGGGACGCCCGCTCTTAGAACTAGGGTGTTCACATGCCGGCTTTCTGGAATAGATGTGGGGTTGAGTGTTTTTAGGGTTGGGGGGTCCTTACCACAACCGGGAGGGGGTGGGGGGCGGGTCCCTGGGTGGGGGCGGGGAGCTGGTTCATTAGAGGTCCGATGCGAAGCCCGTTTGGCAAGTGGTCAAGCTCTCGAGCCGCCCCCCCCCCCCCCCCCCCCCCCCCCAAAAAAAAATTCGCGACAATGCAGCGGCCGATCGACAAATGTATGCTGCTTGGCCCAAGGGTTTAGGGTTTAGGGTTTAGGTTTTAGAGTTTAGGGTTTAGGGTTTAGGGTTTAGGGTCAAGGAAGCTGCAAACGCACAGGCTCCTGGTGGGTCCAATCTGTACGCAAAGACTCATGCACAGCAACAGGACCAGTGAAAATGTGCTCAAGAGCGCCTGCCATTCTTCCAACACCAGGCCCTGCAGCGTTTCGAGAGATCTTTCAGCAGCGCCATCTCTTTGAGACAATTAGTCTTTGCACCGCATTTCTCGGGGCATCGGTTCTTAGCACTTCCTGTGCGCCATGATTCCATGTCAGCAGGTCGCCATGATGCGATGCCATGGCTACACCTGTCCACAGTCGTCGATGGCGCTGCCGGTGCCCTGGAGGATGCCAGCTGCGACTGCGGGCCACAGCATCAGCCCTGGCCGCTCCGCGGGCTCTCTGAGCGCCGCAACAGCCAGCGCCGGCTGCGCGATGCTTTGGAGGGTTGGCCAGGGGCAGCGTGTGGTGCGCGCACGGGTGTTCTTGCGCGTCAAACGCTGGAATAGGAAGGACGTGGAGGAGGAGGAGGACGATGAGGATGACGATGAGGACGACGATGAAGATGAGGATGAGGATGAGGATGAGGAGTTGGAGGAGAAGGTCATGAAGATTGCCCAGGCTGTTTTGGATGAGCTTGTGAGCTTCGCGCCCGTGGTTGGCCCCTTCAAGGATGCGGTCCGGGCCTGGCAGGATGGGCGGGTTCGGGACATCTGCTTCCATTCGGTGATGATGGTTCTTGACCCTTGCCAGCCCGGTGGTACCCTTTTCCATTTTTTCTTTGGTTCAAGATTCCCATATAAAGTAACCAACCCCAAAATAGGGGGGTGCCCTTATGTAGACTGTGGTTCCGCATTTACCGAGGACCTCACACCAGTGGTCCTCGCAAGTGAGGCGGCAAGAGCCGCCAAGGTCTCTTCACGCGTCGCCAAGCTGGTGAGAAAAGGTGAGAGGGGCTACTCGTTGCTAGGCAGGCCCTTGGGGCACTTTTTGTTTTATTGTCCCTTAATTATTGGGTTGAAGAGGATCATAATTTAGGAATATACCCCAAACCCCAAACCCCAAGCCCCAAGCCCCAAGCCCCAAGCCCCAAGCCCCAAACCCCAAACCCCAAACCCCAAACCCCAAACCCTAAACCCTAAACCCTAGACCCTAAACCCTAAGATTTTTAAGGGCCATCCTAGGTTGAGGAAGGTGGCCATTGCGGCCAAGAGATTGACGAAGAATGCCGAGAAGGCGCAAAAGCTCACTCCTGAGATTCGAAGGGTTCTGAAGCTGATCCACAAAGTGTCTAGGTAGGCACCTTGAAACATTTCTATGTTTTCCCTTTAATGGGCTTAAATAGGATCATATGTAGGAGTTTTGTTTTCAGAGGGTTTAAGGGGCCATCCGAGGTGTGCGTGCGAGTGGAGAAGGAAGCTTCTGCTGAGCAATCTGAGAAGGAGAGCTGAAGCAGCGGCTGGACCTTCAGAGTACAAAACCTGCTTTTTTGTAGGTTGTTGCTATAGAATAGCCCTGGCCGGATTCGTAGGTAACCTGCGAAACAGTAGGGTTTGGGTTCTCAAGGCTACTGTTTGCTGAAGAACCCCCGAAAAAGTAGGAAAAAAAACTAATTCTTCCTTAGACGGGTAATCCAGGGATCACTTTTTTTGGAGGGGGGTTCAGCAGTAGAAGGTAGCACCTTCTGCAACGCTGGCTGAAGATCGATTTGCCCCGAATCATCGGCATCGGTGATGGACAGACGCCCCCCGAGCTGAGTGCGCAAAAGGCATGAGATCAGGGTTCAGGGTTTAGGGTTTATAATAGGGCATATAGGGTTTAGCCACATGTGCTCTTGAAGACCACTTTTTTTTGTTCCAGCACTTTCCAGCCTAACACTAGATGAGTTTAACTGCCGCCGCACCGCTTCTTTGTAGGGTTTAGGGTTTAGGGTTTAGGGCTTGCCAGCTCCCAGCCGGTTTATGTTCTGGTTGGATGCAAGCGGGGTTTGATGATCATAAGCTTCACCAGCCCTGTTTGGGACTCCGGTTGAAGCATGGCGGTTGCATGAGCCATGAACTGTTGCGTGAGCCCTGTCATGACGGGTTCCCTATTCCCCCCTCCATACTGCCCCCCCCCCCTCGGTTCCCCCCTTAGATAGCCTTAATTAGGCTTAATTATCCCTAAATAGCCTCAATGATGGGGGGAAGCTAGGGGGGGTAGACCCTCTCTGAGATAACAGGCGTTTCGTCCCTGGTTGCCAGATGACCTTAAGCCTTAATTGCCAAGCAAGTGTATTCTGGGAACCAGGAACAGGGCCGACATTGACAGACCCGAAACCCTTAACCTGAAGCACCCTTCTGGTCCAGAACTCGGCGCCTCGCGCTCAAACCTGGAAACTCTACCTCCCAGTGCCGCGAACATTGTATCCTTGAACGAAGGAGTAGTCCTTGAACAGTAATAGGCCCCTTCTGTGACCTAAACCCTAAAGTTAAAGTCTATGGGTACACCACAGAGAGTCCACCATCCCTGATGAGTCTTCCAAAATGTTATTGGGCTGCCGACTTTTCACATAAGGAGCACTCTGCAAGCAAAGGATACTTTGCTTGAGTCTCTAAGTCAGCAGTCCCTGCCCTGATCTGTCCTTTAGTAGTCGAGGCCGTTACCCCAAACCCTCAACCCCCAACCCCACACCCTGCGCGCCAAACCCTACACTCCAAACCCTGCACCCTAGACCCTAAACCATAAGCCCCCCAAAAGAGCCGTGACCCTGAACCCTAAGCCCTAAACACCCCAAACCCTAAACCCTAAACCCCACCGACTTCAAGCAGCGGGAGGTTCCTTGACCGCTACCCCTGTGACGAGAGGGCGGTCTCGCTGTTGATGAACCTCCGCTTGATTGGATTTTGTCGGGTTTAGCTCAGGGTTTAGGGTTTGGGGTTTAGGGTTTGGGGTTTGCGGTTTGGGGTTTGGGGGCTCAGTTGCCAGAGGTTTGGGGCCCGTGGAAAAGGGTTTATGGTTTCTGGAGGGGGGGAGTAGTCCCAAGTTGAAGGAAGCCAACAGAGGCTCTTTACAGTAGATTCCCGGAGGCGAAAAGGCCCATCACTTCAGATCAAGCCCCAAGTCCGGGGGTTGAGTATCTCTGTATCGCCCTTGGGAATTCTTTTTTGTTCATATAAAACCCAAGAGGATATTTTAAGAAATCTGTTTATTAAGGTTCTAAGGGGAGTATAGATCTAGGTGCCCGGGAAACCCCAAACCCCACACCCCTAGACCACGGCTTCAAAATGATGCTTGGAACCGGCCTCGGAACGGCTTCGGGCGTCTTATCTTCGGAGTGCAACTTGGGGAAACCCTAAGCCCAGAACCCTAAGCCCAGAACCCTAAACCCTCTCTGGTTGTCCCGGCCCGTGGGGTGCATTCCCTGAGCCTAGGCCTAGCCCTCAACCCTAGGATGCCCAGTAGTTCCCTTTTTTGGAGGTTTAGGTTTATTATAAACCCCTTCAAGCAAAAAAGGGCACCCTTTTTCAGCCTAGGTTACTGGGCAGCCTAGAACCCTAAACCCTACAAACCCTGAACCCGAAAGCCCAAGCCCTAAGCCCTAAGCTCTAAACCCTACGTAAGAACCCAAAGCTTTTTTTGGTAGGTTACCTAAGAGCCCAATAAGGGGCTTTATAGTAATAGCCTACGCAGACCGGTAGTCAGACGACGGGTGTAGGGTTCAGGGTGCCGCGTGGCCTTGCTGGATGAGTGGAGCCCTTCTTCCCTTTATAGGCTCACGGTGTCCCTAAACCCTAAACCCTAAACCCTAAACCCTAAACCCTAAACCCTAAACCCTAAACCCTAAACCCTAAACCCTAAACCCTAAACCCTAAACCAAGAGTTGATCTCCTCGTGATAATGCTACTGGGCTACAAAGTGATCATGTCTATTGCGGTTTAAGGTTCCCCCTTATACTAACAGTCCTAAATAGGGATCAGAATAGGGGGTACGATAATCCCTATGAAGGACTGTTAGTATCTAGTGTGGTTTGAACTAACCTTATGTGATTTTAATAGGGATTAGAATATGGGGAACGATAATCCATATTCGGGACTGTTCGAACAAGGGGGAACATTCCATTGTATTGTGGTTTGATGCTTAGGCTTCTGGGATTCTGGGGGTGCCGAAGCAGCAAAGGAATCTCCCGTCGCAGATGCTGCTCAAGGCTTGTGTCGAGCTGGGCTTTGGCAATGGCTTCAAGCAATATTAGTAATATTCACAGTAGTAATCACACCAATAATTATCGTAAAAACAATAAAAGTGATAATGGAAGGACCATCACTAGTACTAGTGTGGGGTGTGAAGGGTCTGAGTCTGGGGTTTAGGGCATCATGTAAGGGTTGGCGAGAAAAAGGGACCCCCTAGTTTAGACCCCCAAATAGTAGGACCCTTATAATGAAGACCTCAAGAAGGTACCCCCAAAATATCGTAAATCCCCCTGGTTCTCGTGAACCGATCCTCCTTGTGTGGAGATTGGACCAGTACTTCTTGACTTTCCAAGCCGAAGCGTAGACACTGGAAACCTTTTAAACCCTCAAGAGGTTTAAGGTTTAGGGTTTAGGGTTTAGGTTTTAGGGTTTAGGGTCAACCCTAAGCCCTAAACTCCTAACCCCTAAGGTTTGAGTGCTTTGAGGGGCGGCCCTTTTTCCATGTTGTGTAGAGGGGGTTCCCTGGGTGCAGGGTGACCGTCTCTAGTTCTTTAGGGTTTAGGGTTTCGGGTTTAGGGTTTAGTGTTTAGGTTTTAGGGTAGTATGGGGTGAGGGCTCTTTTGGAGGTTGTAACCCAGGAAAGGTGGGGTGTTAGGATTAGGGCACAAGGTCTTCTTGGGGGTTTTGCTGTTGAACCCTAAGCCCTAAGCCCTAAACCCTAAACCCTAAACCCTAAACCCTAAACCCTAAACCCTAATTCAACAGGGACCTCCTCTGAATGCCTCAGGGGTAGGGAACGTGATCCCAAATCCCAGGAGGAGATTTCCTTTTGCCTTTTTTTGAGACCGACCTTGAAACCCCGCATTGCTGTGGCTAGTCGGGTGCCAAAAAAACTCAACAGGGAAGCATCGTGCCCCAAATCTTCGGCCGAGAGGTGATGGACACCTTCGACCCACGTAACAAAGAAGAGGCGGGCTTGGGGTGGCTGAGGCTTAGGGTTTAGGGTTTAGGGTTTAGGGTTTAGGGTTTAGGGTTTAGGCTTCAGTGTTGCTGAGACTTTCCGGCCAGGGACATCATAGCAGGGATGCAGAAAGGCCTTCGGGTTGAGGCTTTAGGGTTTTGGGGTTGTAGGGTTTAGGGCTAAGGTTTAGGGTTTGGGGGAGTGGGGGGGGGGGTCTGTTCTGGCATGGTCAAGATGGTGGCATGGGGCTTAGCGTTTAGGGCATGGAGAAGAGCCACGGCTGAAAAGCACGGCACCAAAGCCTTGTAGGGCAGACCCCTCGTTGCTGCGAAGAGGGATGTGGGGTTTTGGGGTTTCTTTTCTTGCTTAAGGGTTGCGAGGATTGAAGGTTTGAGGCAGGTGGGTTCGACTGCCTGAGAGAGAGAGAGAGAGAGAGAGAGAGAGAGAGAGAGAGAGAGAGAGGGAGGCAGGCAGAGAGAGAGAGAGGCACATGAAGCAGGGTTTATACTACTGTTTTTGGTGAGTGTATATAAGGTTCCTTTTTAATATTGGTGAGTGTATACTTTGGGTGTCCTTTTGGGGGTACAAGAAATAGAAACCCTACATTACATGGGTTAGTAGGGTTTTAGCTGCGGCCCCGCCATCCGACGGTCGACCCCCACGCGCGACTCGTCTTCGCAAGGTTTCCTATTTAGGGTTTAGGGTTTAGGGTTTAGGCTACGCTGGATTTCCTAAGAACTTTGTTTGAGATTACGAGTATTATTCTTATTCCTACGACCCTTAAGCCTTCCAAAGCAAGAAGCCACGTTCGGGGTTGCTGAGGCTAGCGTAGCCCATGCTTGGAGCAGGGGCGTTGTAGCTTCGTGCTAAAGCTCTAAACGCCTAAGCCCCTTCGACAGCGACCTGCGGTGCGGCTGCGTGGCCCTAAACCCCAAACCGTAAACCCCAAGCCCTAAACCCCAAACCCGAAACCCTAAACCCTAAACCGCGTGTGCAGGTGGACTACTCCCGTCAGGCCGGGCACTTGGCAGAAGCCCAGATGGGTTCTGGGGGGGGGGGGGGGGGTGGGGGGGGTGGGGGGGGTGTGGGCCAGAGCTCTAATTCTACAGGAGTCTGCACCCTAAACCCTAAACCCTAACCCTCGCACCCTGGTTGAAGGGCTGACCGGATTTGGGGCGTCCGCGTCTTAGAGTTTGGCTTTGGAGTTCAGGGTCTAGGGTTAACGGCACAAGGCTGCGTGGGCCCCTTTTGTTGCCTTAGGATCACATGGGCTACATGTCGCTATTCTGTGTCGAGGCATTCGAACCGGAGCATGGCTGGC